TGGAATTTTTTTTTTTTTTTGGTTTTTGTTTGCAATGGAAACAAATGTTACAACAAATGGTAAAAAAAAAAAATTCACTTTAATGGACAATTTTCATGTAAAACAAAGTCAAACGAATACTAAACTTTGATGAAAAAAATTGATTTTTTAGGAAACAATTTTTTTCCCTTTTTTTTACTTTTTGGCAATGGAAACAAATTTTATAACCAATTGTGGAAAAAAATCACTTTAATGGACAATTTTCATGTAAAATAAAGTCAAACGAATAGAAAATTTAAAAATTTTTTGGGTGGAAAATTATACCAATCAAACACACTTGAAATCATTTTCCCTACAAAACATTTTGTAGGCAAATCTTTTCCCTATAAAACATTTTTTTTCCACCCATTTTTCATCGTTACAATCAAACGCAACCCTTAGAAATTGTTCAATTCAAACAATGGCAGCCGGTCAGGTGGTATTGTTTTAAGACAGTCAATATTTGTACTACTCTGATATGACAACTATGTTGTCTGTTAAAAACAGCAAATGATTGGGGCAACAATTTTAGAATTAAGCATCGCGGGCTTTGGTTGACAATATCCGGTGCGCCTTATTTGCCCTTTTTTTTTTCACACGATGAGTTTTTGTCAAGTGTCATCCCGTGAAACTTTTGTATAAAATGTATAGGTACTAGTAACATGACTGACAATTTTATCCTAGGTCCTAGTAACATGACTGACAATTCGATGGTATGTCTTTTTCTAAAGTTACATAAATTAACATCATTTAAGAAAGTTATATATATACTAGTCGAAGTTGTACGTACATTATACGTTATTTTGAAATACTTTATGAGTACTATAAAAGTAATATTTGATGTCAAACAGACTAAAAAAAATAAAATTTATGATAGAAATTTAAAAAAAGAAAATTGTACTATCAAAATTCAACTTCTATAATTTCAATTTTTGGATGATGAAATACAACAAATGAACAACCTTTTTTATAATACATTTTGTACATATTGCTAATATCTTAGGCTGAGTCAATACAAACAATCAAACTTGAGTATAAGACGTGCATAAACTTTATACGTGCTTATGTGCTTGTGTTTCTAGCTCTAGCCAACTTTTTTGCACTACAAAAATATACATTCGATTTTAATGATATTTATCGACGAAAATATTCTATCAATGAATTAATTTCTAATATCAAAGTAGGATAGGTAAATTTTCTACAAATGANTTTCCACCCATTTTTCACCCTTACAGTCAAACGCACCCTTAGAAACTGTTCAATTCAAACAATGGCAGCCGGTCAGGTGGTATTGTTTTAAGACAGTCAATATTTGTACTACTCTGATATGACAACTATGTTGTCTGTTAAAAATAGCAAATGATTGGGGCAACAATTTTAGAATTAAGCATCCGGTTGACAAAATCCGGTGCGCCCTATATTTGCCCTTTTTTTTTTCACACGATGAGTTTTTGTCAAGTGTCATCCCGTGAAACTTTTGTATAAAATGTATAGGTACTAGTAACATGACTGACAATTCGATGGTCTTGTCTTTTTCTAAAGTTACATAAATTAACATCATTTAAGAAAGTTATATATATACTAGTCGAAGTTGTACATACATTATACATTATTTTGAAATACTTTATGAGTGCTATAAAAGTAATATTTGATGTCAAACAAACTAAAGAAAATAAAATTTATGATAAAAATTTAAAAGAAGAAAATTGTACTATCAAAATTCAACTTCTATAATTTCAATTTTTGGATGATAAAATACAACAAATGAACAACCTTTTTTATAATACATTTTGTACATATTGCTAATATCTTAGGCTGAGTCAATACAAACAATCAAACTTGAGTATAAGACGTGCAGAAACTTTATACGTGCTTAAATGTGCTTGTGTTTCTAGCTCTAGCCAACTTTTTTGCACTACAAAAGTATACATTCGATTTTAATGATATTTATCGACAAAAATATTCTATCAATGAATTAATTTCTAATATCAAAGTCGGATAGGTAAATTTTCTACAAATGANTTTAATGATATTTATCGACAAAAATATTCTATCAATGAATAAATTTCTAATATCAAAGTCGGATATGTAAATTTTCTACAAATGAGATACCTTCGATAATTACCAACGAATTGATTTAGTTGTGGTATTTCCAACAACTATGTCCGTCATTAAGCTGTCGCGATTTAATTGAAACTAGTTACGGTTGCTAATTTCTGATCTATTTACAAACTTATTATCCATTACTGATTTGAAATTAAATTTTTTTTTTTAAATGAGAGCAATGATTATTATATTAATATGTTTTTGCTTGTGGATCGAAAATATTAAGTTTTAATATACACAAACCAGCTAAAAATGCATATAAATTAGGAACGATTAGTTAAATTAGTATATAAAGAACCAAATTATCAAAAAAAATAGAAAACATAAATTTA